TTTCTGGTTCAGGATTAGTTCCCTATAATCCTGGAGTCCCCGGTCTTTGTTTTGTATTTTTAAATGCCAAGGGTCCCTTCAGTGGTTCAAGACACACCCTTTTGAGTTTCTCTCCCTTTTGCTGCACAGAAGATGGAAAATCATCACCACCTCTTCTATCAGAGTCTGCACTCTCATGCAAGGATGGGGAATCATTTGCCTTCCAGATGTTCTTGGACTTCAACTCCCACCACTCTTGACCATAAGCCATGCTGGCTGGGGCTGAAGTAAGTTATATTCCAACAACATCTGGAGAGCCACAGTTTCCTCACCTCTGTTCCATTTTTTGCAATCAGGGCAGATTTCCAGTCCTGTAACACTCCTACCCCACCCCATAAAATGGGACCAGTTGATGCTGAAATGCCAAGTTGTCACTGTGCAAATGGAATTCTCCTGTTCAGGAACTCTTATGGGGGGGGGGAATCCCTCACTGCTCTAGTCATTTCCCCCCAGTATGACTATGTATGAATATGTTTCCTGTGTGAGGCTGCAAATGCTGATCCTTTGAGAAGCTATTCTTCCAAGTCTGCTGCCCTCACCAAGCCTCCTGGCAAGGAAACATTGTATTAAAATTACAGTGGTACCTCTGGTTACGAACTTAATTTGTTCCAGAGGTCCGTTCTTAACCTGAAACTGTTCTTAACCTGAGGTACTTCTTTAGCTAATGGGGCCTCCTGCTGCCACCATGCCGCCCACGCACGATTTCTGTTCTCATCCTGAGGTAAAGTTCTTAACCCGAGGTACTACTTCCAGGTTAGTGGAGTCTGTAACCCGAAGTGTTTGTAACCTGAGGTGTTTTTAACCCGAGGTACCACTGTATTATAACACACTTCCAATGCAAGATCTTTGATTAAACTTTGCTGCTCCATCCGGTTTGTACTGAGGGCAAGTGCTCCTACTGTTCCACCCTAGTGATCCTACTGCTACACTCCCAGCCTCTTGTTACCATATACAAATGGGTGTGTTGCCCTGAAAGAAACCAAAGCAACTACAGAGTCCATTGTTTGTCTGTTTTCATTCTTCACACCTACAACTTAGGCTTCCTTTATACAAATTTAATAAATAAATAAAATTGTGGCAGATTCCAACAACCTTGTGTCCTCCAGATATTGTTGGACTACAACTCCCATCAACCCCAGCCAGCGCAGGCCAGCAAGGAAGAGAGTTATGAGGAACAGTTGAGAGAATTTGGTATGTTTAGCCTGGTAAAGAGGAGATTGAAGGGAGATATGGAAGCCATCTTCAAACATCTAATGGGCTGTCATGTGGAGAATGTGGCAAGCTTGTTTTTGCCTGCTCTGGATGCTAGGACCTGAACCAATGGATTCAAGTTATAAGAAAGGAGATTCCGACTAAACATCAAGAAGAAATTTCTGACGGTAAAAGCTGTTTGACAGTGGAACAGACTCCCAAAAGAGGTGGTGGATTCTCCTTCCTTGGAGATTTTTAAGCAGAATTTGGGTGGCCATCTGACATGGATGCTTTAGCTGAGATTCCTGCATTGGAGGTGGTTGGACTAGATGTCCCTCGGGATCCCTTCCAATTCTACAATTCTATGTAGCCCTACAAATTCTGGAGGGAACAAGTTTGGCAAAGTCTTTGTTATTGTGGCCGGTGTCTCATTTTCAGTCACCTATGTGCTAAGGAATAAAATTAAAATAAGATTCTGAATTATCTCCAAGTGGGCTCATTGCATATGGGTCTTGCTTGTTTCTGCAGATAAAGAAGAGTGGATGACTCTGAGTAAATGATTGTTCATTGTTCATAACAGCTGTAAGAGAAAAAAGCTGAGGGGGGAGAAAAGCCTTTTTAAAAAACCAGCAAAGGTCTCAAACATCACTCCACATGAATTCATATCAGGCACTCCTCTTTCAAAAACACCAGGAAGACATTCACAAGGCCTACCTACAATTCGATATCTCTGATGCTTGTATGCCACTTTAAACCACCACGGCTTCCCCTAGTGGATCCTGGGAAATGTGGTGCTGAGAATTCTGTGAGATATCCTGAACCTTACCCTTCCACAGCACTTACGTTTCCAAACAAATATTAGTAGTTAAACAGAGCATTGCATATTTGCCTTTAGTGTGTGCCTTTCTCCCATCAAGAAAGTCACACAAGAATTTGCTCAGCATTCTCTTATATATATATTCATATTCACACAATACTGTAGACCCAGTTTTTATATTTTATTGCTATTATTATTATTATTATTACTACTACTACTATTATCAAGAAACAGAGTCATAGGAAGAGCAGAAACAGACAGCTGAGTCCAGAAACTAATGTATTTGAATGTATTCCTTTTATCTACGTTTCCCCCCTTTCCTACAAAAGGCCTTAAAATGGAAGGGGGAGAACTGAGGATCAAAGCGAGTGAAAGATGTAGATATCAGGTCAGAAGGCTGAGCACCCACCAAGGAAAAATTACAGTATCACTTCCACTCTGTTCCCACTGTAAGCTGATAGAAAGATTATGTGAAACAGAAAATTGTGCAGCTTTGGGGAGGGTGGGGGAGGGAGAGGAATTCCACATGCCCTATAAATTCCAATCCTTTTTTATGTAATCTATTTAATCTCCCGTTAATGATAATCACAGGCTATCAATGTGCTCAAACAGGGTCAATTTCTGGTGGATTTGCACTTCTTATATTTTGTGCTTTAGCAAAGCTGCAGGGGGGCAGGGAAGAGCGAAGAGGGAGGGAACACAAAGGTCTAAACTCTGATTTAAACAGTTATATTAGCAAGATCTGCACCAAGGATTGCTTGCAAACATAAACAGTCCTTGAACATATGTGTGGCATGGTGTGTGTGTGTGTGTGTGTGTGTGTGTGTGTGTTAGAGAGAGAAAGAGAAAATGGGCTGGTTAGGGTGGGTAGTAGGTCCTGTCAGCTGACAGTCATCTATTAAGCAGGTTCTATAATCTAAGGACTCAGCAAGGTTAGAAAATCATAGTGGATTTACCAGTCTTCTTACAGATGGAGTTGGATTGGGGGAGGGAATTAGATGGGGGGGGGAATGGGCTGCAGGGTAGCATTTCCAAATTTCACAACATCCTGCCTGTCCAGCAGCAGACAATAAATGCATTTGGGAAATACCAGATAGGTTTCTGCTCTGAAGGAGCTTCAAACGCAAGAGGGGGCATAGCATGAAAAATCAGGCAGTCTCTGGAGGGAAGCAAGGAGAGGAGTGAGGAAGGTGTGTTTCTGCATTTCAGCTTCATTTTCTGTAAAGGAATGAAACCCTCCCCAAATCACAAAAAGGACACTAGCCAAATGCAACTTAACAACCTTCCAGCTGCCTCTTGCCTGTTGACCACAGGATATATTACCTCTCACTGACCATCTCATGTACTCTATCCTCTTGGGCTGATTCCCCCAGGTTAATTCCACACACACCCTTTGCTTGATTTCCTCAAACCATAGCATCCTTTGGCTCCCACATATTGCTCTTCAGCCTAGATTATGAGCAGCAAACAGCTTTAAAGGAATATTTGAGAAAGAACAAAGAGGAAACAAATTATTTAAATAAGAAAACCCATCAAATTGGGAAGAGAGTGCAGGGTAATAAAATTGGTTCAGAATGGGATTTACAGTGCAAGTCTATGTCTGCCTACTCAGAAGTAAGCTCTGCTGAGTTCTATGGAACTTACTCACTGGTAAGTACAGGATTCCCATCTTCATGTAGCAACCCAGCTTCTAGCTTGCTCTACCATATCAAAGAAGACAGACAAATACCCAGTTATGATCACAGGCCCTCCACTCCTTAAATAGTGGTACCCAGAAGTTGGCTGAGCAGAGAGAGAGGATTGTGATGATATTTGTCCTAGATAACCTTCACAAGAGAATGTACCCAATCCTCATTTTCAAATGAGAGGGGTGAGGAGAATGGATTGGGGTGTGTGTGTTAGTGCTGGAAACCAATAGCCTAGTAGTCCAATAAGAGGGGGGAGGAAAGATCCCCACCCATCCACCTATCTGCCTAGGAAATATCCCCCCCCCACTATATATATATATATATCTCCTTCATAGATGCACTCGTTTGATGAGGCTGGAGCGAGCCTCACAGGAAGAGAAAGGCGACTTCCCTGAGCTGATGCATATATTCATGGGGTGTGCTCTCTCCTCCGTTCTCCTGAAATGGAATTGGGGCTCATTATTTTGCAATGGCGCAGCACCCTGGGGAAGGGACTGTGGATCACAGTTGGGCTGGAAAGCATTTCTTGTCTTGTCTTTTCTAAAGGTGGGAGGGGAATGGGAAGGTGAAGACAAACACACCAGCACAGAGGCGCACACCCCTTGTCAAACAATCCTGAGCACAACCTAGCCAAAGCTCCAGTCCAAAGCACTAGCTCTCAGTTTTAACTTCCTCTTCATCTCCTTATAAGCCACAGAACCATCAAGGTCAGCATTTTTCTCCCTCCAGCCCAGGCCGCTAACAAAAGCCCTTGAAAGGACCACTGGTGAGGTCCCCAAACCTGCTACATTCCTTTTTCCTCTTGAATTGGGTGTGTGCGTTGATTTTGCTTTGGAGGGTGGGGTAAGGCAAAGCCAGAAATGACGAGGTGGGGGTTGGCTCCTCTCTCTCTCTCTCTCTCTCTCTCTCTCTGTTGTCTTGTGAATGAATTCCACCTCCAAGGGCCCATTAGGAGAGTTACATCTCCATCATTATCACCATCACAAACATCCAAAAGAGGAGGGAATCTCTCCTGAAAGAATCCAGGCTGGAAGAAAAGCCCAGACAAACTTCAAGGAAGCCTGGATGCCTTTGGGTATTTGCACCAAGTTACAAGCACTCGAAATCAGGTCTAGAACAGAGACATTTCAACAGCACTCCCACCCCCTCCATATATATATACATACATAAAGAATCACCCAGACGCCAACAACCCGGATTCCAAAAAAGGGAAGGGGGAAGCCTTCCCCCTATTGACGCAAAGCAAGAAGTTTGGTCTCACTTACGGTATTTGGGGCTGGTGTTGGCCTCTGGCGTGGTGGTGGTGCTGGCCTCTTGGAAGGGGGATAAGGTCCAGGACGGAGCAGAGTCCTGAAGATAGGTCTTGTAGGAGGAGGTAGTGTATGCCGCAGTGGGCCAGATGGGCAGAGGCTGGGTCCCAGGGGTGCCAGGCGCAGGGCGGGAAATCAGGATGGTGGTGCTGAAAGGGACAGCGGTGGTGGTGGTGGCAAGGACGGTCGGGGGCGCGACCGTGTGGCGCGCCGTGGTGGATCTCGGCAGGCCGGCGCGGATCGGGCCCCGGGTGCCCGGGAAGCGGGTGGGCGCCTTGGTCATGGTGGTGAGGCGGGTACTTATCCGATTGGGTGTCCTCGACGTGGTGGTAGTGGCCGTGCTGGTGGTGGTGGTGTCCACGCTTTTGGGCGGCGTGGTGGGCTGCTTGGAGAGGAAGAAGGGGTCCTGCTCGATGCCTTTGGAATCCATCAGCTCGGTGGGCACGTACTCCTTGACGGAGCCCACCACGATCCACTTGAGCAGCATCAGGCTGAGCCCCAAGCCCACGAAGCCGATGAAGAGGGGCACCACGCACAGCCACGTCTGCTGCCGGTTCCACACGATGCAGTCGCTGCAGCGCACCTCGCGGGCCGCCGGGTCGGCGCCCCCATCGCCGCCGCCGCCCGCGGGACCCCGGCTCCGACCGCCGCCCCCTCCTCGGCACCAGCTGCGGCACCCGGAGGAGAGGAGACCCCTTCGCTCATCCTCCTAGGGGCCTGGCACACCCTCCCCCGGGGAAAGAAAAGGCATCGGGGGGGAGCGAGAAGCATGCGGAGCAAAGGCGGCGAGGGAGGGGGCGCGCAAAGGCGAGAAAGAGAGCGAGCGAGCCACAGAGGGAGGGAGGGAGGGAGGGGTGGGGAGGGAGAAAGAAGAAGATCCCACAGAACGGAGGGGGAAGCTGCCGTCAGTTACCGAAAGGACATTTCCCCATTCAACCTAGAGCTCTGTAACCCCCCCGCCATCACATATACATCCACACGCATTCACACAACCGCTGCTGAATCAGCTGGAATGGCCGAGCTCTCCCCATCCTCCAGCAGTGCTGAAGTAGCCTCCTTTTTTACCTTCGATTCCCCCCCTCTTATCCCCCCCCCCAAATGAGGAATCCGCGGCGCTTCTTCCAGCACGAACCCAAAACAGCAGCAGTCCCCAAAAATCCACCTCCTTCGATGGTGATGATGATGATCCTTGGGTGCTGGGGCTGGTGTGGTGCTTTTTCTGTCTCCCCCTTCTCGTTCCTAGCCCAGAGATCCGCATTCAGCAACAATCACGAAACCCATTTCTCCATACGGAAGCGGGAGTGGGAAAAACAAGCTCCTCTGGCTCCTGGTTTTGGGTGATGATGTTGAAGATGCCCCCCTTTCCACCCCACCCCCCAAGCAGAAGCAGCAGCGGCGACATTCCTCGGCTGCTGGGCTTTCTTTCCTTCTTTCCCCCCCTGCCCCCCCACCTCCTTCTCCTCCTCCTCCCCGAAGCGACGGAGCAGCAAACTGCACCTGTTATTCAGCAGCCCTGCAGCCAACCCTTGGACAGCACTTTAAAGCGGAGAGACCAATCCGAAGGCAGCGCGGAGGGAAAGGAGAGCGAGCAAGCGAGCGAGCCGAGGCGCAGACGCGGCGGGAGAACCGGGAGCCGCTGCCGCCGCCGCCACCACCAGCTCGGCATTGCTGACAAGTCCAAGGCGACATCCAAACTGGATCCGGATCCGGGAGGGGGGAAATAATCATTAAAACAAAGCTACTCAATCAAAGGAGCTTCCAGCAGTTACATGAAGCGGGGAAAGGGGGTGGCTAAGGCGGAGGGGTGGGAAAAATCACACATACTGTACACCAAAAATATATATTCCTTGGGAATAACAATCCTGCCGATGGAGGCGGCCAGGACTGTTCCGCGCGGGTCTCGGCGCCCCCTTTGGCCGGGCAGGCAGCCCTCTTTCGCGGAGGCTGAGTGCTCCTATTGCAGCATGTTGGGGGTGCGGGAGAGGCTGGTGCGCTGAGAGTAGGGGGGCGGTGGCGAGGATGCCGCCTCCCGTGGCCAAGCCTCGGGGTGGTTTCTTTATTGCGCACAAAGATAGCGGAACGATCCGGGCAACCCCCTTCGGAGTGGGAGGGGGGAGATCCAGTAAGGAGTGGGGTGGGTAGGTGGGTGGGCAGCCGCCGCCGCTGCCTGGTCGGTTCCGGAGCGGCTGGCGTTCCGGGCGAGTCTTGCACTCCTACTGCGGCTGCATGCCCAAAGAGGCGCGTGGGTGCGCGGAGACGGGGAGGAGCCAGCAGGGCGCGGCGGCGGCGGCTACACCTCTGGCGCGGAATGCCTGCCCGAGCGGGTGGCTCGAGCGCCGGGTCCGGGACTCGTAAAGGCGCATGGACTATCGTTGCAAGGACTAGTTGCTGTAGACAGGCTTGGGAAGGTGAAAAGAAAAAGAAGGAAAGAACCAAGTGATAACGCAGAGTTCACTGGGGCAACTCACTAGGTAACAGGGGTGCCAACTTGAATAAAATATTGGGGGGGGGGTAAGCCCTACCCCACACAATCGATCACAAGACACGGTGCGCACAGATAATTTGAATGGCAATACCCATCAACTTTGGGGGTGGGGCCCCCTCAAATATTTTTTTGGGGAGGGGGCAAAGGACCTCAGCCCCTAGGAGTTGGCTCCTATGCTAGGCAAGCCGCTAGCTCTCTTTGCCCCCATTTCTTGCTTTAGCTGAGATTCCTAGATTGCAGGGGGTGGAATAGATGATCCTTGGGGTCCCTTCCAACTCTACCATTGTAGGATTCATCTGCAAGGTAGGGATGGGCATAGCGAGTGATTTCCTTTGCTGGGACGTTGTGAAAGATTACCATAGAAAGGTATCAAGTATTTATGTTACTACCGCCTACAAGGTCGCCTAAAAAAGAAAGCAAAGACCTGTAGGATCAGACCATCCAGTCCAGTACTCTGCCTTCAAGAGCCAAATGTTTATGGGAAGCTCATAAACAGGAAAGGAGGGAAGAGCGTTTCCCCCATTCATTCTTATGCCCCAGCTTCAGAACACGGAGATTCCATTTAGCAACCGGAACTAATGGTCATTAATCTCCATGGCTACTTCTTTCTAAAAGCCATCTAAAAGGTCTTAAAACACTGTGGCATTGACTTCCATAAGTTAGTGCTATGCTGTGTGAAACAGAGGGTGGTATTCAAGTTGGTTTTACTCACAGTAGACCCACTAAAATTAAGGAACCTTACAGGGCTCACCCACACCTCTATCCTGTGATCTCTAGGCATATGGGTTTTAGAGGTTTTTCTTTACTCCCACTACTTTCCCCCAGGGAAACGCACTGTTTACAGCTGAATCTTGAGAATAGCATTAATCGTGATTTCTGTGGATTTGTCACTGGGCAAATGGAAGAGTTGATGAACCCTTAGTCATGTTCATGAATTTCAGTGGTTCTATTCTGAGTAAAGCTTGGTTGAATGCCACCCAGTACTTCCTTTTGCCTGTTCTGCATTATCTTAAGAGGTCTAGTTTTACAAGGAAAAACTTCCTCTATCCACTATCAGCACACCATTCATAATTTTATAGTGTGTCCTCCTTCCATTGTCTCCTCCACTCTAAACTAAAAGTCCCAAATGATGTAGGCTTTTGGCACAGGACATATATTCCCACCCCAAATAATTTAGGTTGCCAGATTTGGCACCTTTCCTAGCTCCAGTGTATCTCTTTGAATATGAATTAATAAAATTGTACACGCTATTCCAAAGGTGGGTTTACCATAGATTTCTATAAAAGCATTACAATACTGGCAGTTTTATTTTCGGACAGTTCCCAGAGCTTGCCCTTTTCGCTGTCATTGCACCCTGAGGCTGTGTACACATTACACAGTTACACACTCCTTATCCAGTGCACTCCCACTGCTGGTGTTTGAGGATGTGTACATACTGCATTAGCCACAATCCATATCTATCCTGTATTATCTTGAGAAATAATATTGTTTGGTGTGCTTTTCTTCAAACCAGCTTTCATCACATTTGTAAACACAAGCCATATTCACTTCACAATTAACTTGAGACGTGTGCATTTAAGACAGCCATTGCACATGTGCAGATGACAGCTTCACAAATGGTTCAGGGGTGGGGTTGTAGGCATGGGGGAGCCACACAGGTCCTGTGCATCAGGCTAAGACACCCCCATTCCCTTTTCTAGTGTGTACAACAATGTGCAAATGAAACTTGACATGCAGCAGGAGAAACAGCCTCACTCGGTTTTAAGCCGCTAATGTGTATATAGCCAGATTTGTTGTTGTTTTATAGCTCTCCACTATAACGTAGTACTCAGCACTGAGCTTGGGAGATAAAGAGCTCTGTCTGCTCTTCAGAGATCATTCTCTAGAAATCAGGCAGAGTGTTTAATCTCCTGATATAAGCACTGAGCACCACAGTAATACTATGGGGCTAGTCTTCCCATGGCTTTCCAAGCCAGATCTGTGTGTCCTTTAATCTTGAAACCACTATGTTTGCATTTGGTGAGGAACATTGTCAAAAACTTTATCTAAGTCCAAGAATATATCTACAGATGACCCCATCTAAGTGCTGGCTGATACTTTTTTTAAAAAAATCCAGAAAATGTGATGAAGCCAGGCTGATTCATCCTCAGCAAAGCTTGTTCTTCTATATATTGAACAATTCTGCCTTTGATAATGCTTTCTATGAATCAATGTACCACTAGTAAGGTGGACAGTTCTGTTATTTCCAGATCCCCTCTAGGTCTCTTTAAAAAAAGAAAAGAAAAAAAGTAAAAAAGTATGACATTGGTTAACCTCTAATCCTTTGGTAAAGAGGCTGATTTTAATGATATGCATTTTTTTGTTAAAACTGAAGCAATTTCCTCTCTGAGTTCTTTAAGAGCTCTTCACTGAATGCCATCTGTCCTCTGTGATTTTTAATTTGCACTTTGTCAGTTAGCTTTAGAACTTTATCATTTGTCACTTCTTTCTGACACTTCCTCAGATGCCCCTGCTCAAATACAGCACTTCAGACATGGCAGTCTGTCCATCATCTTCCATGGTGAGCACCAATGCAGCTTGCCTGCAGTTCTCTTTCAGCCTTTGGTACTGCTTTCAGTCCATTGTCTTCTGAATATCCTACTACCTCCTTAGCTAATTTACTGCTCTTGTTTTTAAAGAAATGCTTGTGTTTTTTGCCTAACAATTTCCTCTTCAAATACTTTCTTTGCTTTGTGTGCCATCAATTTGCATTTGTTTTGATGCTCTTTTTGAGTTTTGCATTTGAGCAAAACTTCAACCTCTTAAAATAACTTGCTGTTTAGTGTCAGACAATGCCCCCTGCCCAAACGCAGCACCTCTCACTACCTAGAGGATACAGATGGAGAAGAAACATAGGATGTTCATTTTTTGATGGGGAGGAGGTCAGTACTTTCTCTTGGTCCCTCCCTGCTTGAGAATATCCACCAGAGATGGATTTAAGGGAGGGAAAGCAGTTTGGTCACACTGGCTGCCGAGCCTTGGGGGTGCTGCAGAGGGTATTCCAATTAGGATTTAGAATGGAGTGCAAGAAATGGGTGGTGGGATAAATTTTGGCATTACATAGGGTGCCACTGAAATTTGAGACCTTAAGGTCCACCACTGCTCCTGCCTTCAGACTCAGAGGAT